AAAAAAAAAAAGAGAGAATTTCACTACATAAAAGAATGCTTACTCAATTCCTTTATTTCATCAGACTGGACCAGCAATGAAAAGCTTCTATATCCAATTTATTCGATCTCCACGACAACACAATCAATTAAATTCATATGAAACAACAATTTTATATGCATCTGAACAGTAATAAACAAATGAACTAATTCGAATAAAATGTTTATTATTTGTTTCCATTAGTTTTTTCTTTTTTTCTTTTTATTGTTGTATTTTCTCTCATCGTTTACACACAAGCACATATGTTCTCTTTACCAGACAGATATGAGGAAAAGACGACAAAGAAGCGAAAAAAAAAACAAAATGATCTAATAATAGATGAACAAGAAATAACAAAAAAGTCTTTGATTCGTTTTTTTTTCTTCTTCTTCTAAGTATGTACACGAGGCACAAAAAAAAAGAAACACAAACAAAGAAAACAAAACACCACCCGAGAAAGAGCACAGACAGATTTAATGATCAACAAAAAAACGAAGTCAAGCAAAAGAGACTTCATCGTTTTATTCATTAAGTCAGCGAGAGAATAAATAATAGACAGAAAAAAACAAAAACGTTTAACTAATCTTTATCAGTTCGACAACAACACGAAAAACCTTGTACAAGTATATATACCACATAAATGCTAATCTATTATTCGATATTGCCATGCTCATAGACATAGAACAACAAAAAAAAAAAGAAAATCAAAAATGCTAGCATGTAGACAATATCTGACACACAAAGACAAAAGACTTCCTAATATGTCGAAAAACAAGCAAAAAAAAGACATATACATGCTCATATGAAGGGACCTTGAAAAAAAACAATCTGACAAGTGGAAAAAACAAGGATGCGAGGCTTTGAGCAACAAACACGGACACACAAAAAAAAACCGGTAGCTAAGTTCGTACATAAACATTTTGCTTTTCATTTTATTTTTATGCACCTGAGTTAAGAGAAGGAAAAACAAACACATGCAAAAAAAACGGAAGAGAAGTTAAGCCCTGAGAAATAAACATACACTAAGTACTTGACAGAAAAACATATATCTCATCATTGAGATAAACATGAGATTATTAGATATATATATATATATAGAAAGAGAGAGTGAGAGCGAGGGAAAAATATCAAAGCTTATCCCAAGCAACAGGCGATGGCGGTAGTTCATGAGCTTGTGCGACTTGTGATCTAAATATATTTAAAAATAATCTTTTCTTTTCTTTATAAATTAATAAATCAATTACGTAGCAAATGTTTTATATAATGGTGAATCATGATTAAGCCTAAGAGGTACAGTATTAGCTTGACTGAATTCCGTTAATAATTTATGCATATATTCTAAAATTTAAAAATAAAAATTTATTTTGAAATATAAAATTACTATAGTACCTTTTGCTTGTCGCATACTACAAAAATTTTCATCTGAATCATCATATCGAAAACCACGTACAGGTTCAAGATTAACTGTATATTGTCGTCCATTTGGTGTCGAAAAACAACAACGACACATACATGAATGATAACGAATACGTCCTTCATGAATATAATTATTTTCTAGAAAAATCATATACATATAAATAGTAGTTTGGTTTTCGTTTTTTGTCTATGCAAAAAAAAAAAGAATTGTATACCAAGTGCTTGATGTATGGTTATTCTTTTTTTCGGATCCCATGTTAACATTCGTAATAAAAGTTGTACAGCTTCGTGAGTTACATTTTTTGACAGAGAATAAAGCATATTAACTTTAGCAGCACGCCAAGTTTTTGATAATATATAAGATTTAGCACCATCACATGCTGTAGATATTTCATCTAATGGTGGACTACCAAGTAAATTAATTATTAAATCAAGCTTAAAAAAAAACAAAAGATACATGCGAAAATTTTGTTTGAAAAAAGATATATTTACTTGTTTAAGTGGTGATGATGCTTGAAATAAAATTCTTCGACCAAGTAATTCAGCAAATATACAACCAACACTCCATACATCAATAGCATAGGAATAATGATGAGCACCAAGTAATAATTCAGGTGCACGATAATATTGTGTAACAACTTCTTGTGTCATACATTTTGTTTTATCAAGTTCTTCGGTACGGGCTAAACCAAAATCACAAATCTAAAGAAACAAAAATTATGTTTAATAGAAATTCTTTTCTTTTTAATAATTTACCTTTAACAAACAATCACTATTGACTAAAAGATTTCCAGGTTTTAAATCTCGATGAATAACTCCGGCCGAATGAAGAAATTTAAGTCCTAAAACAAAACGAATTTTATATTAAACTAAATTAATCTTTATTAATTACCTCGAAGTATTTGATAAAGAAAAACTTTACAATGATCAACTGACAAAGGTTGTTGTGAAACAATAATTTTGTGTAAATCAATTTGCATTAATTCCGTTAAAATATACCTAAACTAAATATTTTTCTTTTGAATATTTTAATTTAATTACTTACACTTCATTAAATAAATCTATTTGACTAGGTGGTTGAAGAATATCAACAGCTTGTAGAATCTTTAACAAACAAACAAACAAACATTTCTATTTAAAAAAAAATATATTTTATTAAAAATAAAATTACATTATCATGTCGAAATGTGCATAACATTTTTATTTCACGAAAAGCTCGTCGAGCGGCAACAACTGATTGAAAAACATTAGGCATCTTTTTTAATGCAACACGTCGACTTGTTCGTGGATCAGTAACCGCCCTAAAAATTTATAAAAAAAGATTTTTTTTTAATTTCTTTCTTTTTCTATTAAATAAACATACCATATAACTCCAAATGCACCATAACCAATAAGAAAATCTAAAATGAATAAATTATTAAATAATAAACAAATTGAAAATAAATTATTCACCGCCAGGTTCATTTTCATTTGTTGATGAAGCAAGTGTCGCGGAAGAATTTGATGAAGATGTACTTGATGATGAATAAGATGGTATACCTGAGTTATTTGTATAATATGGATGATGTAGAGATTGTTGTTGTTGTTGCTGTTGTTGTTTACTTGTTGTTCCACCATTAGTTTTAGCCGTGCTACGCGACATTGCAATCTAAAATTAAAAAGAAGAAAAAGAAAATTGACAAAAATTAATTATTTGCTTTAAGTTTTTTTTTCTATAACAAACCATTTTAAAGATTTTGATGTTGTTTGTTTTTAATCAATTAAAATGTTGGCGATAAATATCTGACCAAGATTGATTTAACTCCGCACGACATATCTGCCAATGTCGCTGTTGTAGTTATTCTATGAGCGACGAAGAAGAAAGCAAATAGAAAAATGTTAGAGAAAGAAAGAAAGAAGGAAGGAAAGAAAAAAAAAGAATCGAAAGAGAAAAAGAACTTAACGATGAAAACTGCCAGTCAAGCAATCGACATCAATACAACAAGAAAAAAAAATCATATGGACTAATAAGACGGACGGACAAAGTACATGAACGACCGCTTGTTCGCGTTCGCTCGGACGCAAGAACAACAAAAAAAAAACCCTAACGTCGTTTTATATGTTTAAAGCTATGTTGAACCAATGATTTAATAGACTCATAAAAGGAAATTGAACAAATAATTATTTTATATGTATTTATAAATAGTTTTAGAAATAATTTATTCATTATTTTATATTGTCACGATGGTCAATAGTAAAGAATATTTTTTTTTAAATATAACAACTAGCGACACGGGTTCTTTTTTTTTTACGAAATTGTACTGTCAGATTCATTGAACTAAAGAAAAAATATCGATTTTGTTTGTCTCATTCTTTTTTTTTAGGTGTCAGACGCTTAATAATAACAAAATGTTACGGACATGGCTCATTGTTTTTTTTAAAACAGAATGAATACTGTGATAAATCAGTTCATGGTTATAGTTTATCATTAAAATATTTCATAATTTTGAGTTTTTTTTAAAACTATGATAAAGATAGTTCTATATATATATCATAGGTATTGATTAACCAGTAAATTATATTTCGTATGCATTGATTTTTTTTCTATATTAAAACATGTTTTATTAAATAAATTTATTATACGATTTTCTTGATAAAGCATGACATCTAGAAATCAGATTGATATAACGTGGATAGTCGATTGATTTTTTTCTCTTACTAAATTTATGAAGTGAAAGAAAAAAATTTAAAAAATGAACATTCATGTTAAAGCTTAAGCAAATCTGAACTTCTAAAATACCTTGTCAAAAAATTTACCGGAAAATATCTAGAATTTATGAAATTTTTATTGTTGAAAATTTTCGCATCCCATCATATGGAGCTTCATACTTATCGAATATCTCTTTAAAAAAGTCTAATTCATTAATACACTTCTCAATTTGCTTTACCGTCTACCGAGTAGTAAAAAAAAAAATATTATTTCTCACTTATTTGTTTCGATCGAATAATCGTGAACAACATAAATATATCAAAACGATTGCATTGTTCTAAATAAAAGTTAGCTTTATATAAAAGATGTTTGCTCTCTGGAACGAAACGATCTTCAAAATTTTTTAGTTCTATTCCATTGCATGTGACGTCTTTCAAAAGTGTTGCATTGCATGAGACTAATGCAATGGAACTGTCCTATTCCATGCGGAGCTTTAATTGACATTCTTGGAATTATTTCGATTTAATAAATAAATAGAATTTGAAGTTCTATCTTTGTTCTAAAGCACTTTTTAAATTGTTACTCTATTAAATTTTCTACATAAGAATGTAAAAAGAGATTGACGAAAATGAAACAAACATATCACTATGATTACAATGAATGTTTTATTATTTTCTGATAAATATTCATTGAAATCTTTATAATTCGCTTTTTATTATCAAGATACAAATCGTACGACGAACCGTAAAGAAAAGCAAAATCAACCATCGTACAATATGAAGGATATAACAAACCTTTTTATTTTTATAAAAAATTTGTATTTCTTTTTGATCATCTTTTAACTTCTCAGAGCATTTTTAATTTCTCTTGTACTTTTTTAATGCCAAGAGACGAACAGCTATTGAAAGTATATATTTAAAGACTAATATTTAGGCTACTGTCCAAAATAAATTTCATTCAATCTACATCAATGGTAAGAAGTTGCTATATGAGAGAATATAATTCTTAATAAAAAATATATCGAATCAATTTTTTACTCTTTGTTTATTACAAGTAAAGTAGCAGTCATTCATAGCAAATCATTTTTATTCTTCTGTTATTACTGAATATAATATAATGTTAAGTTAGATTTAGCCGCTTTTTTTCATATGTTTGCTAATACAACATTTTGTTACTCGTAATACAAATTGAGTGTAGTTTCTTTCGATTGATAGTTTAAATCTTACTTTTCACATATGTATCTTCAATACTTGTCTACTCCTTCAAATATTGAAAAAAATATAAAACGAATGTGAAAATGCAACCAAAAATTATGAAACAACTCTTTACATAGAAGCGTATTTTAATAAAAATATCAAAAGTTTCTTGCTTAGTAATTTTTGTTGTTTCTACAGTGATAAGATGGAAGTCATACTGCTATATTATAAAGACTACTGATGTTCGCACCAGTATTAAAGAGGGTTGAGTGTAATCTTAGTAACTTGACAATGAAGGCAGCTAACGATCTACGATTTTCAACAGTTGAAAGAGGAGAAGTTCGAACTTCTTTTTTGTTCGATACTGTGTAAGACAGAGTTATTTTAAAATCCGTCATTTTCGTAAGACATTCAATGGTGTTTTGTTTCAAGGAAAGTTTGATAAAAAGTCAGAAAATTTGCTAAAAATCAATGGATTTCTATATAATTCGACCGAATAGATACGGAACTTCGTTTGTCTAACATTGAGAGAGAAGAAAATAGCCACTAGAATCGTGTCTTGAACTATATACATCTCTATCAGAAAAATCGAAACAGAACGACATTCTGATGCATTTTTTTCGAAGATGATGGATTTTAAAAAAACTTTGCCTTATACAGTATCAAATAAAAAGACATCCGACGTTTCTCTCTTTGATTTGCTGAAAACTGCAGATCGTTAACTGTAGTCGTTGTCAAGTTATTAAGATTACCCTGATTCCTGTTTAATTCTAACGTGGATACTAGTCAGTATTCATAGCTATTGCACTAATCTAGATTTATCTCTTCTCAACAACTTATTATCTCTGTCGTTTAAATGAAAAAGTATATTTTTTAACAGATTAAAAAAGAATGATGGAATTTCAACAAATTAGCCAATTAATATAAGTACTTAAGATTTATTTTATTTTATATTCTAAGGCTAAATAAACAATGTTGAGAACTGTTCTTATTGTTAAGCTTAGAGAAAATTTGCCATCTTAATTGGAAAAAGAGAGTTTCACATGACGCCAATTTCATTTAAAACCCGAGATGGAACATATCTGAATATATTGTAAGTATTTTCTTCATCTGAATCAGAATAATGTTGAAATATTATAAATTTCTGTTAATAGATCACCTGAAATAGCGAGTAATATATTTTATAATAATCATGAAAATGATTCGACTATATCATAAAGACATTGACAGAATTAGTTAACATATACAGGGTATTCGGAAAGTTATCTACCAAACGAAATGTCGATATTTCCATTATATTGTGACTAATGAGCTATTTTTTTCTAATGATAAAGGAAAGTCCAAGTTGTTTTTTTCTAATAAGCAGAAAGTTTAGTATCATCACTAAAACTATAATTATTTAGTTAAAAGAGAAAAATTTAAAGGTTATATGAACGATAAATAATAGACTTTCTGTTTTTGTAATATGATTGGATTTGCTTATGTTATTACATAGGGCGTTCAAAAAGTTCTGAGAATTAGTAATATTCCTTCAATAATAAGTATATTATATTTATTTGTCTACAGTAAACATTAGAAGACATTACAACAATGTTTGATAGCAAGTTCGATTTACTTTTGAATAATCTTTTTGTATTCATTGATGTGTCAAACTGATTGCTCGATGGTTGCTTAGTTAAATTTATTGTATCTAGGTAGATAGTTAATCTATATTTTTAAATAGTTGAATAACAGAAGTTCGGACGAAGCAAGATCAGTTGAATGTGTCTGATAGATCATATCTTTAAATCCTCTTTTTTTTGAGAATTTTAATAACAATACTTTTCATATGCAGTTTACAGTACCAAGATGGATTTGATATCACCGATACTTCATCATAGTGTTTGTTGAAAAGTTTCTTAACTAATGCTTTTTGAACATTATTGCGATCATTACATAGCATTAACAGACTGTATGGAATGTACCTGACGAATAAGTAATGTTCACGTTATCATAAAGAAAATGACAAACATTGTTTCTTTACAGACTAGGATTTTTCTCTTGCCTCTACCTAATAGTGCAATACCTAAACTGTTTTTCAACGCCCGTCATTATATCACATCATTCCAGTATCCGTTTCATAAAATCCACCGAATTTTTGATACTGAATCGACGAGTATAACTAAGCAATAATTGAGCCATCAATTTGGCACATATTGATGAATGCAAGAAGATTATTCAAAAGTAAATCGAACTTGTTATCGAACATTGTTATGATGTCTTTTAACGTTTGTTGTAGACAAATACATATAATATACTTCTTATTGAAGAAATGTTACTAATTCTCAGAACTTTTTGAACGCCCTACGTAAGTTTTCTCAATTTATTAAATAATTTATTTGCAATATTTCAGTTTTTGCTTAGTCTACCTTCCATCTTTGACGTTTAATAATGGCATACTTTTGAATGCCAATTTTCTGCTTAGTTCATGAGAGAAATAATGCTACTACTTGCCATGCTTTAATAAATATATAGATCATAATATGAGGAGCGGATATACATGAACTACAAAGGAAAAGCCAACCAAGTGTATTAGCAAATGGTATATATATATACATATATATTATGATCTTGGAATGGAATGTAATACTTTATCAATGATGAAAAGGTAACAAGAAGAAAAACAGTTTTATAATGGATATAGAATTCGATTTCTACTTATACGAGTCATTTTTGGATCTGAAATACAACAAATAAAGTGTGGATGTGGGCGTGGATGAGTGAAGCGAAGCTCCAAATTCACACCTAAATCCTTTCTTTCTTTTTATATTTTTATTTGATATTATTAGAAGTTTCGCTTAGCCCTAAATATTATAGACTTTATTTAAAGGAATGCTAGAATTAAATTCAAGATAGAATTATTATATGCATTATTGTAGACAAGGAATTTTACTGTGTATTCCTGCAATAAAACCTTCGATACTAAGTGTTCTATAAAATTTAAAATGCCATGGCCAGAACTTTTGATATGCTCTAAGTATTTTATGAACATTTTTACTAGTGTCAATCAAGAAAAAATACAAAGAATCTCATAATGTCCAAAATGGACTCAAACATAGAGATAATTTTACAGAATAATGAATTTTATTTACATGGAAAAATTGAATTAAATGGATAAAAAAATTCTTGATTATTACTCAATTTATATCTTGCTACAGCATATTCCAAAAAAAAGAAAACAACAGTAAAGTAAGCCATTATACGATGAAATAGTTTTTATGAGACCATAAGAGATTAGAAAAACCAACATCAAATGTATGCATTATATGGTTGATTGTTTTGAGTCTTGCATTCCGCTACAATAGAAATATTTCAAAAGTACATCTTACATGAAACATGTGCACTGATGAGTTTTGAATTTTCAAAATTTTAAATACAAATTTAAATCTTTTGAGTTGAGAGTTCAATTATAAAGAAATGCAATAAAATATGTATGTGTTAAAAATTGTTAATTTATCTTTCATCAATTTAATCCACTTAAATCATGAATTACTATATATAGACATAGAGAGACAATCAAATGAAATGTCAAACTCTTACAATGCTCTAAAAATTTCTGTTCTTCTTGATCTTGTTTTCAGTGAAAAAAGAGTATTCATTAATTTCCAATTAAGCCTACATATGTCTGTACTTCTGAACTTGATATATAAACCCAAACTGAGATTGTATCACTATCATGCAGCCGAAGTACATGATTCTAGCATGTGTTTACCAAGTGAAATATTACTTCAGTCCTTTTTCCATAATAACAAGTAAATGTTTAAGTGATGATTTTAGGAATAATGAAAGAAAAATTTTTCAATACATTACATCCATATGAAAGTCGAATTGAGGATTTTACTCAGTAGGCCACTTTCAAGGTTTTTAATAATATTGTCAATATCACATTGATGTCTATTGGAATGAATGATTTATGACATCAACGAACGTATTTATTTTATTATAGATATATGTCATTATTTATTTAGGTATAATAACACAATAGGAATAAGACAGTTTTGGTTTTATTCTAAGGTTCCATCAAGTCATAAAATAACGATATCATTATGAGATTTCTTTCTCGAGCTATCAACTATTGTTCAATATATTGAATTAAAATTTAATAATGAAAGAAGGTCGATTTGTTTTTCTTCAAGAAGAGAACCTTTTCAATTTTCTGTTTGGTATAGTCACGAATTACCTACTGTTGCATGTCAAGCCTAGTCAGTATTTTACTTGATTTACTTATTCAATACAATCGTGCACTTCGATTGTCACAAAAAAATCTTATGCTAAAAAATGACATGATTTATTTAAAAAAATATATACTATTGTAGTAGTTTTCAAATTATCGTTATTTTTGTTGGTTTACATTTTATTATGAACTCTTACATCCTATTTTATTTTGCAAAACAACAAATCGTTGAACAACAGCATCACCCCTTACTCTTGCCATTCCCATGCCTAACATTTCAACGACATGAAAATTTCGATATAAAAGTGGTAGACGAATAGGTCCATATACACGATGTAAATTGTATTGGAGGAAATCTTGAATATTAAGCGGTACACCCAAAAATAGAAATCCACCAGGTTTAAGAATACATGTTATTTTTATCATTGTCTGAAAATCACCATATGGATTCAATGGATCTTGGTATCGACCTAGACCATCATGTTCAATACTACTATATGACCATACACTATCAAATAATTCTTTTCGACCTTTATTATTCTGTTGTTGTCTTGCAAAATCCATTGGTGTTATTGTAAACAGACGAGGAATACTTGAATATATTGTTGCATATTCCATTGTTGTAACATTTGATGCATTATATTCAAGTAATGCTGCTTCAATCCATGGATTTTCAGTTCCAATAACAGCACATTTCTTGTTTATAATAGCTAATGATGCATATTTATCCAATGCAGGATATATATCGGTATTGTGGTATGAACCAAAAGCTTCTCTTGCTCGTACTTGTTTACGATAATTCTCAATAAGATCAACTGTCCAGTTCATTGGCAAAGTATTGCCTGTGCGAAAATCTTGAGAGTCCAGAGCAACTGGTATTGTATAATTTAGTGTAAAATTAGATAGAAGATCATCAGGTATTTGTTTGATATGTTGACGTGTTAGTGGTAGATTATCTTTAAGCCATGCATTATAAGTGGGACATTGATCAGCATCAGGAGTACAATAAATATTATATGTGACAAAGTCAGGATTAGGCTTACGTGGAAGAAAAGAACATGAAACAAGCTCGTTATTTTC